TTTAGTATGATTCTAGTTTTAAATATTAAGGTTATGGCTGATGGTAAATACTTGCTGAAATATAATCATGTGCATTAAAATGACGTGAACAAATTTTTATTCCGGAATTCACTTCTTTGATACCTACTGCTTTCATCCAAGCTTCTATTAGTTTACTTTTTTCTCCAATTTTCCGAATATATTTTTTACATATATAAAACGGTTAGTTTTTATTGGAAAGTAGTTAATGTAGGTGAAGACTGAAGATCTATGTCTGAAGTGCTATTGCAGCTTTTCACTGAACATATTAACTTTTTATTTGATTTATCTTTAGAAGAAAAATTCGTCGACTCCATCATCAAAGAAATGTTTGCTTTTTTAACGTGTTTTATTATTTTAATAAACAATTTTAGAATTTGCGTGCACAGTTCCTATGTAAATTTTTCCCTCGTTCGAGTTATACATTTTGCCACCAGATGGTGTATGCTTATTTGACGGATCCCAATTTGTTTTACTTTTTTAACATCCATAATGAATATTTATGAAACATTTATTAAATGCTGCGATTTAATACAATTAAAAGCTTGCCGAATCTAATTTAAATTAGACTAAAAATTACAAAGTAGTTTTTAATAACCGTATATTTCCAACAATAACTTTCGGTTAACTGAAAGAACTCGCGGTTTATATAATAAGACATTCAAACAATCAACTTTATGTCACACTTCCTTATAACAGACAAACCAAATTAAACCCACGAAGGCGGTAAACTGTAACTTCCTCGCTGTTTAGTTATTCTACGAACACTGATGCAGAATACTAACCATGCCTACTTCCGGGAAGGACATAACTTTTAAGCGCTTTAACGTTCTTCGGTTCTTTAACCTTTAACAGTACTAAATTTAAATTATTTTTAATTTTATTCTCCAATAGAATTTTAATGCGATAAATAATTAAGTTTCGCAAGGACCTACTATTCATAGCTGCAATATCATTTCTAAAGGGTAACTAAAGGGTAATGTTACAATATCACTACATAGTATAAAACAAAGTCGCTTTCCCGCTGTCTGTCCCTTAGTATGCTTAAATCTTTAAAACTACGCAACGGATTTTGATGCGTTTTTTTTTGAAAGATAGAGTGATTCAAAACGAAGGTTTATATGTATAATACATGCATAATATAATAGGGAAACACTGATTATTTTAGAGGTTTCTAATGTGATGTCGTAAATAAACACATTTTTTGCGCTTACGTTGCAAACGCTGGCTGAATCCTACGAGATAGATCAAAATAATATACCAGAGTATTGTACACCTTAAAAAGGTCTACAAAAAAGTCCGCGATGGTATATGTCTATCTCTTAGGGATAACCCACAATAACCATTTTTTATCCTTTACTTTTTACGAGAAATAATGGCTTATTTACGAAGCGATTTTAAGCAATACAGCGTTAATCCTTATCCAATTAAGTACTTTTAAATACATTGTGCATTTAATATAGATCAATATGGCCCTTNAATGTTTTGTGCGTAGATTTATTTTTGATTTGTCACGCACAGTTCACACGCCGAATTAACTTTGTGTGAAGTTATTAAAATTTCAAGAGTTAACTTAAAATTATTTATTAACATGTATATACAGGAACGATATTATTAAGATGTTATAAGATTCGTAGTTGAACAGGATCTACTTTCTTTTTTACTGTAGGTATAAACTTAAGGGTAGAAGTGGTGTGGACAAGTTCCAAGAAGTAACAAATATAACAGACCCCAATATGAGGGGCAAATTTGGAAGTACCAGCTGTGTACAATAATAAATTTTACAATGCTTGGGTACATGTCATAAACCTTCATTTATTAGGCTGTTCGGCAAATTCTGAAAAATATTTGTACCTAAATATAGTTTGGTCGAAACAATATGGCCCTTTACAACATGTAATTGAAAAGGAATATTTTCGAAGATATTACAGATTTAAAATGCAGAGACATAGCGGTTGCGGCGGTACCGGCCGGAAGGCCGGTTTGTATTGTCTAATGACAAAAAACCTGTCAATGTTGTATATAAAGACATTCTGTACTATATTTAGTATGTTCAGGAGGCATCTTTTGAAGATTTCCCCTTTTCGAT